CACAAGTTTATCTGAGGAAGGAATTATTTATTTTTCCAAAAATGCTTTTGGAGAATTCTTTTTTTGATTGTTGTGAATTTTTGCAACAGATCATGTATCATTTTGAAAACAATATTTTGTTTTGTTCATGAGGGATGAGGGTGTCACTGGCTCGGCCAGAGCATTTATTGCCATCTCTAATTGCCCAGAAGGCACACAAATGTCAAACACATTGCTGTGGGTCTGGAGTCACATGTAAACTAGACCATGTAGGTAATGCAGGTTTCCTTCCTGAAAGAACATTAGTGAACTAGATGGTTTTTTAACATCAAAAGACCCTGGGTTACAGTTCCTTAAAGACCTGATTTTTTATGAATTCAAACTTCACCACTAGCCATGGTGGGATTTTCACCCGTGTCCCCAAAACATTAAACTAGGGTTCCAGATTACTAGTCTAGTGACATTACCAATAGACCACCACCTCCCTTAAAGTAAACCACAAGTTTTGGGAATGTAATCTAAGAAACAAAGAGCAAGTGGAAAAAGAAATGTGAACAGAATGAAGGATGAAAACAGCTCTCAGGATATTCCAAAGTACTTTACAATGTAAAGGACATTAAAAATAGTCCCACTGGATCTATTGCAACACCCATGAGCATGGTTTGACACCTTATTTAAAAGGCAACACTTTTGGTACTGCAGCATTCCTGCAGTGTGGCACTGGTGTTTCAGCCTGAACATTCATGTTCAACTGTCTAGATAGCAATTTGAACCCACAATGTCATGACTCACAGAGGCCATAATCCTACTCACTAAGCCATGTCTGTAGCCTAACATTTGGAGCACTGTGTGCAGTTCCAGTCACCCTACAATAGAAAGGATATCATTAAACTAGAAACAATGCAGAAAAGATTTACTAAGATGCTACGTGAACTGGAAGTTTGAGTTATAAGGAGAGGCTGGACAAGCTGGGACTTGTTTCCCTGGAGCTTAGGAAACTGAGGGGTGATCTATTAGAGGTTTATAAAATCATGAGAGGCATAGAAATGGTAGATAGCCAGACGCTTTTCCCCATGGCAGGGGAATCTAAAACTAGAGGGCATAGGTTTAAGGTGAGAGGGCAGAAATGTAAAAGGGTCCACAGGGGCATTTTTTTTCACACAAAGGGTGGTGAGTGTCTGGAAAAGGCTGCCAGAGGTTGTGGTGGAAGTGAGTACAATTTTGTCATTTAAGAAACATTTAGACAAGTACATGGATTGAATAGATATGGAGGGATATGGACCAAACACAGGCAAATGGGACAGTTTAAATTGCAAAAACTGGGCAGCATGGGCAAGTTGGGGCAAAGGGCCTGTTTCCGTGCTGTAGACCGCTATGAATCTATAACACAGACCAACTAAATTCACAGCTTTACGTCTGACATATAAATAATTTGACTGATCTTACATCTCTGTGCTGCATATTTGTAAACAAGCAAGTTTAATTTCAGGTAAGCTTTCACAAAGCAGTGCTATTTTGAATGCTGATTGCCACTGCAGTAAGTCACAGGATTTTACTTTGCTCTCTTGCTTTCATATATACCATCTCATATCAAAGGATGAGTTCTCAGACATTAAGGCGCATCTCTCCAGATTTATGCCCAAGCAGAATCTAATTATTCAAACCTGCTTATTTTGATTAACTCTGATGGCAGCAAAGCTTCAGACTATGATTATCAACGAAATTGAATGCCCTTGTGCTTCTGACATTGAGCAGCATACAAAGGTTGAAGAAGTAAGATGACAGCATAGTAGTTCTATTTCTAACCCAACCCCCATGAAAGCTGGGTGTGCATAATCGCTTGTGTGGTGATTGCAACAAGGTCAGCCAGGTGGACCTCATAGAATATGAGTTCCCTGATTGGGGCCGTTAACCTTGTCCAATCTGGGAGCCCTGGCTGACAGATATGAACAGGAGTGTCAGGGGTTCTCTTCACTCTGACAGCTGGCTCTGAGGAAGCCGGACCAGTGTCAAGTGCTTTGTACATGTAAATAAAGCGTGACTTGGCGACAGGATACTGGCCTCTGTGGAGTCATGTCAATGGTGGTGACAGAAACAAATACAGTCCTAAAGAAATTTGCATGCAACAATTTTCTTTGAGTTGGGGTAAGCATTTCTGACATCATACCATTATTTGGGGAAACTTGACTTGTTCAATCCTGTCGTCAAAGACTGGGCCCAGTCTAAAGAATGTGTTTTTTTTCTGGGTAATTGACATTGCAGCAGATGAAAAGCAATGAGTAATTCTCCTGCCAGTTTGTGGACCTGCTGCTTTTTCAGTTATTAGGAACCTAATGTTTCCTGAAGCACCAGATACTAAAACCTTTCAAGAGTTGGTGGATTTAGTTAAGAAATATTATGACCCTAAGCCTCCTCTAATTCAGAGACATTATCAATTTTACTCAGCAGTTTGAAAATCAGGCCAATCTGCGTCAAGATTTTTGACTCGGGTAAGATGACTGGCAGAGGCATGTGCCTTTGGTTTAACACTGAATGAGATGCTGAGGCACCATTTGGTATGTAGGATTAATGATGTAACTATGCGAAAGCACCTACGAGCTAAGCTCTGGACTTCAAACAGGCAGCGCAACTGGTTTTGTCATTAGAAAATGTGACAAGTGGAGCATATGCGTTACAGGTATGCTGATGGAAGTGAACACCCTCGCCAGTCCGACTGAGCTTGGGGAACACCACTTGAGTGAAGGCAATTGCATAGCCTCACTCAGAACATATCCTGAGCAAAGAGACTCCAGGACGGCCCATAGCAACACCCCAAAACAAAGCCAAGCCTCAGCCAAATGGTTAAAATTTTCTTTGGGATCTGGGCCAGTAAGTCATTATAGTTGCAGTCGATCTGTGGACTCATGACAGCAAAAGAGTCCCACTGAACCTAAATGGAGTAAGAGGACTCATAGGCCAGTATCCAGGAGAGTGCATACCCTGGAAAATCCGCTTACATCTGGTTTGAAATAGTTAAATTGCTTGGCAACGTCCAAATCAGAACAAATCAAAATAAACGTTTGGTTAAATGGTCACCCGGTTGTAATGGAGGTTGATACTTGCATGGCTGTATCAGTGATTGCAGAACCAGTCTTCAACAAAATTCACTCTGCACTCCAACCTTTAAGTTTGCACAAGACCTCAGCTAGACTGACAGCCTATACCAGGGAACCTTTATAGATTAAGGGTATAGCTTTGTCTGCGGTCTTGTAGAAGAAGCAGCTGGTTCAATTACCACTGATTGTAGTAAAAGGCTTGGGCGCAAGCTTGATGGGGTGAAATTGATTGAGAAAGATTCACCCTGGTTGGCTCAACAGTTTTCAGTTAGAAAATCGGTGCCTAAGTAATATCCTAGTTAAAGACCTCGCAATTTTTTGGTAAGGTCTAGGGACTATCAAAGGAGCCAAAGCCACCTTGCATGTTGACCAGGAAGCAATTCCACAATTCAGCAAGGCACCGTCAGTGCCATTTGCTTTATGTACAAAAGTAGAGACAGAAGTCAGGGGAGTGGAAAGTAAAGTAATCATCAAACCAGTCCAGTTTGCAGAAAGGGCAGCACCGGTCGTACCAACTGTGGAGCTCGATGGGTCGGTTTGCCTTTGTGGGGATTTTAAGCAAATGGTAAACTACTTCTCACAGTTGGATAAATACCCAATCCCTTGCATAGTGGACTTATATGCAAAGCAGGTGGGGTGGGGGCATGCTGTCCTTCACGAAACTGCTATGAGACACGCATACCTGCAATTGTAGTTAGATGCGGATTCCCAGAAGTATATTACAATTAATACCCATAAGGATTTGTACCAATATACGAGACTGCCAATTGGGGTATCATTTTTCAGCAGACAATGGAGAATATTTTACAAGGTCTATCCCAGGTCACCATCTATCTGGATGACATGTGAACAACTGGGAAGATCAATAAAGAGCACTAAGAGAACTTGGACATAGTCCTTAGTTGTTTCTCCAGGCGGGTGTACGCCTTAGAAGGGAAACATGTGTGTTCCGGGTACCTCAAGTGACCTACTTGGACTACA